ATAAAAACAAGGACCAGAGCGTGATCGACGCCAACCCAAATGATTTGAGGTAGCATTTTCAGTTCGCACATGCGATTGATGTAGCCATGGGGAACAATTGTCCTACGACTGAGTGGCGTTCTTGGTTAGATGTTCCTAGGAATGTGAAGAAGGTTGTGATGGATGAACTATTAGTAAGTATATTGTTGATGGATCAATAATTAAGTTTATGAAATTTTTAGTTATATGTTGGAATTAATTATTTGCATATATGTGTAACAGTGTAAGTATACTCTTGACGATGATACGAACGAACAGTTGATGAAGTTGATGGACGATGCATTGGAAGGAGGTTACAATCGGTGACGTTATGAAGTCCTGCGGAATGGACCAGGACCATCGAAATAGTAGTTTTAAATTTATGTTTTGTATGACAATATTTAAATTCAAGGTTTTTTTTATAAGTTATGTATTTGGACTTAATTAGGTTTTAAATCCTATTTGGTTTTTTTATTGAGGCCTAATATAAGCACCTTATCCTCGGTTTGTATGTGTTTTTAATCTTCATACTTATGCTCAAAATAATTGTATGGATTAAGGCATTAATTATTCATAGAATAATATTTAAGGTATAAATTATTTATAGAATAAATATCTTAGGTATTAATTATTTATAGAATAAATATTTAAAGTATTAATTATTTTAGAATAAATATTTAAGGTATTAAATATTTTTAACTGAATATTTGTTTGTAATTATAAAATTTACTTAAACATAGATATATATATGTTTACATAAACTTTATAATTACAATCATTCTATTCGTCGCTACATATTTTGCGCGACGCCACCTTCGTCACATAAGATATCTTTGTGCAACGAATATTAGGTGTTTGTCACGCAAAGCACGGTCAGATTGCGTTCAAACCTTCCCATTTATTGCGCATTTATGACACGTTTTGCACAACAAACGTGGAGATTTGTGCGACAAATGACTTCGTTGCGCAAAGGTATCCTAGTGTTATATAAACACAATTTCAGAACCTTGGTTTAAAAAAAAATAATAATTATTTCAAAAAGAATGTTTGATTCTGGAGAAGGTTCTGATAAAAAGAAACTTGTAGTGCAATCAGAGAGGTATCGACGGAAGCAAGTGCCGTACTTTGGAGGCAAAAATATGGCTGAGGCGTACGCCAAATTTGTGTATGACATAGGGAATTTGGTGCAGAGGGATTGTTCTGTCGAGTTTGAGTCTTGGAAAAGATCCTTGAGGAGTTGAAGAATTCCATGCTAGGGGAGTTATCGGTAAGTTTGTAGTAAACAATGAACAATTATTTTTGTTAAAATGTAATATTTTTAAATTACTAATTTATTGTTATTGGCATTAATGTAGGTTCATTAGGATGTTGATAAAATCGAGGAAAAGCAACGGATTTATGTGGATGGGCTTTTCAAGCAAAGTTTCTAGCGGTGGAAGTTTGATGTGTTGCGGGCAACAGAGGAATGAAGTTGAGGAGGGTTACTTTATTTATTTTTTTAAATAAGATTTTATGGACTTTATTTTTAATTCAATAATAAATTTATGTTGTGTGGATGACTATTAATATTTACATTAATTATAATTTTTATTTGGAATGGTAAATTAATTTTGTTAATTAATTTAATGTTTAATTAGGTTTAAATTTTTTATTTATAATAAAAGAAAATTTTACAATACATACAAATAAAATGGAAAAAAAAAAAATATATATATATATATATGCATTGCGCGATGATACTTGTTTTTGTCTCGCAATTTGTTGAAAAGAATAAATTATAATGTAAAGGAAATAAAATAAAAAAAATGGTAAACTTGAGCGACGAATACTTTTTTTTTTTTTTTTTTTGTCGCGCAAATGTTATTTGCACAACGAAGACTATGTTAGTCGCACAAAGGGCATTTGCGCAATGAAGACCTTGTTCGTCAAGCAAAATCATTCATCCAAAAGTAACTTTATAATCTGGATTCAGGTTATGCAGAGGCAAACTGCACAAAAATTGCGGATTTAATCTCTGCACTCATCCCCTTCGGTTTTGCTCAAGCTGACATCCGTTATTTCCATTTTCTCTCAATTTTATCATCTAATACCCCCTCCATCTTATTCTCTAGGTTGATCAAGCTATCTTGGTATGTTTGGTAAGCGTTTTTTTTTTGTTAGGGTAAAAGTATTAATGTAAAATCTAATATGATGTAGCCATAAATTACATGACATGACTATGCATTCCCGAATGGGATAAGGCTCTTATCAGAGGCATAAGGTGACATTATCATTTGTATGAAGTTGTTGTGATTGTTGTATTTTTATTGTGGTTCTAGGAATTATGGACAGGACGTGGATACAGAATCCGAATAGATGCGCGAATGAATACTCGGATGGAATCGAGGATTTTATTGACTTTGCACGTACACATAACCCGGTTGCAACTAGAGTCCGGTGTCCTTGTCAGATGTGTAACAATGCGTTAAGGGAGACCATTGAAAATGTTCGATTTCATTTAGTAAGGAATGGAATGATTGAGATATATAATACTTGGAACCATCATGGTGAACAATTAGACAATTAATGCTTCGTCTTCAAACGCCACAAGAGTAGACAATGTTGAACCTATTGTGGATCCTAATAAACAAGTCATGGATATTATAAATTATGCTTTTCCATTTGCATCGACAAACACCAATCAGGAAGGGGCAAATGACGTGCCTACACCAATGGACAGTGCAGTGTTCGAACAATATGAAAAACTATTAAAAAATGTCAACCAAGAGTTATATCCGGGGTGCGAGAGCTTTTTCGTTCTCAAGGCCATTGTGGAACTAATGCACGCAAAAAAATAAAGTATCGTATGTTAAACCAGTGTTTCGATTATTTTTTGGGGGTTTTCAAGAGAATGCTTCCGAAGGACAATTGTTTGCCGAAAGACTATAGACATGTGCAAAATGTTTTGAATGGTCTTAGATTGGGTTATGAAAAAATTCAAGCTTGCAAAAACAATTGTATTTTATTCTACAAAGAGAATAAAGCATTGGATAAATGCCATGTATGCAATGAGTCGAGGTTCAAAATGACATCTCATAATAGAACGACTAAGATCCCACAAAAAGTCATGCGTTATCTGCCCCTGAAACCTAGGTTGCAGTAATTGTATATGTCGACACATACTGCCACATATATGAGATGGCATAAGGAAAAACGGGTAGATGACGAAGTGATGAGGCATCCTGCAGATGGGGAGGCATGGAAATAGTTCGATCAAACATTCCTCGAGTTTTCTATTGATCCCTGAAATGTTAGATTGAGACTTGCCACTGACGGATTCAATCCGTTCGGGGTTCTAAACCAACACCACAACACTTTGGCCAATTTTCATATTCTCATATAATTTGCCGCCTTGGAAATGTATGAAAAAAGAATACATGATGATGAATCTTTTCATAACTGAGGATCCTGGCAGATCAATCGATGTTTACTTAAGGTCATTGGTTGATAAGCTAAGGGATTTATGGACAAATAGTGTGTGCACGTACGATAAGTCCACTAGGAAAATGTTCACTTTGCAGGCAACAGTTATGTGGACTATGAACGATTTTCCTACATATGCTATAGTTTCTGGGTGAAGCACTAAGGGTTATATGGCATGCCCTGTATGCAAGGATAATGTAACATCTGGCTGGCACACCGGAAAAGTTTGTTACCTTGGTCATCGGAGATGGTTGCCATGGCACCATGAGTGGCATGAAAAGGATAAAGAGTTCGACGGGAACACAGAGCATCGCCTCAGACCTAGAGAATGGTCCGGTGATCAAATTTTGGAACAGCTTAACCGTTTGAATTTTGCTCCGTTCGGGAAAATGAGTATGGCCGAACCTTCTACACATATGAACTAGGCGCACAAGTCTATGTTTTTTGAGCTCCCGTATTGGTCAACACTAAAATTGAGACACAACCTCAATGTTATGCATGTTGAGAAAAATGTCTTTAACATATTGGTGGGCACCATTTTAGATATCGAGGGCAAGACAAATGACATGATCAAAGCTCATCTTGATTTGGAAAGAGTGGGCATACGGAGGGTTTCATGGATGAATAGGGACAATGATAAAGCCAGAAGGGATCTTGCATTAATTATGTTATTAAGCCTAATATCTTTTTTTTTTTTTTTTTAGTTTATTTAATATTTTTAATCCCACAAAAATTTCAGTCAAAGAACATTGGTAGTTATGAACTACACCAAAAATCAAATTTATTTTTTAATTTTATTTAAAAGTTAAAAAATCAAGAGTTGAACTTTTATTTTGAATGTGGTAAATAACGCAGTTGATCTTTTGCACTTATTCAATTTACAATGTCTAAAACTTCCCCTATGCAATTACCATTGGCCATAAAGTTTTGAAAACTGATATTTTACACTTATTTAATCGGCCCAAACATGCAGATTAACATGCACAAACCATCATTAACTCATTGGTAATTACGGAACAAGTAAAACAAACTAGTTGATGGTAGCACAGATGATTCCAAATAAACGCGAGGGCATATAAGTAATTCAGCTCTTTCTAACTGCCCGTAATTCAGTGAATCCCGTTCTACTTCCACAACCGTACAGCCTCCAAACCGGAACCCTCGTGCAGGCAATCATTTAACATAGATTTTTTAACGTATTGAAATCACGATTTGATACATTTTTATAATAAAAGTATTTAAATACTTGAAAAAACAATTTTAACTGTTTGTATTATGATACTTAATATACTTAATCCTATTTTCGACACATTGCAAAATCTCTTATCATTTAATTGTTCCTGTTATCTTCAACGTGCATCCCATCCACGTGGCAGCAAGCAATTCGAGGAATGTTCGGCGCGGCCCAGATCTATGTAACGGCGCCGTCAAAACGCCCGTTTTCAGATTCCCCGTCACTGTTAACGGAGTCTGGACCACGTTTGGCCAACCCGCACTTATAAACCAAATCAATCACAGCCGTCCAACGGACTCATCATCACCACCATCATTATCATCGTCATCGCGCTCTCCCTCTCCTCTCTCTCTCTAGAAACGAGGTCCAGAGAGAGACAACGATGAGGAAGCAACAGCACGAAGATCTTGCAGAAGAGGAATTTACGACGATGGAGGTGACTCGAGCTGCCACGTCAGAGACGGCGGCGAGAAAGAGGAAGGCCGGCAGCGCGGACGGAGAATCAGTCGAATTGCCGTCGTCGTATGATGTGGCTCAGCACAAGAAGAGGCCGAGAAGACCCGTCGTCGTGGTTAGCAGCGCGCCGAAAATCAAGACGGAGGCAGAGAGCGTACGGACTTCCAACGACGACGTTTGGACGTCGGATCACGCGGAGAGCTACTGCTGCTCGAGTAACGGCTCGAGCGAGCTGGTAAATTCAAAATTAATTAGTGAAATAAATTCAATTCTCTTGTAACTCTTTGAATTTTTCAGTTTCGTCGCGCTTTAATTAACTGGAATTTTAATTAATTATTTTCTGCAGGAGGATGAGAGTGACCAGGTCGAATCGTGGACGTATAATTCCAGCAGAGACGAAAGGTTTTATTCACACACACACATATATAAATATGCATATAATATTACAATTCGTCGAACATTTATTACCGTATTTTTTGCATCCTATCTTAAATTTCAAAATTCAAAAGTTTAATTTTGTTTCAAAATTCGAATTTGTTTCACTCACGTAGGTGAAGTGTATTTAAATTTGCACACTCTGTCTAAATTATTTGTTTCTCAATTCACTTCTCTCGCTTTTGCGTGCGTTTTTTTGCTTTCGCAGCAGGAGAAAGATGACGGCGCCGACGAGCGAAGTTGGAGCAGAAGCAGAATCGACGGCGAGGCTTAAAGAGGAGTCTCAACGACGATCACCGGCGGTAGTGAACGCGTCGGAGCTCGAAGAATTCTTCGCTGCCGTGGAAAAGGAAAGCCAGCAAAAATTTAACGAGAAGTAAGTCAACTCATTTAAAAAAAAATAAATTAAATTTATAGCTCGTTCGAATTTAGGTTTTACGTTCTCATTGTCCGAGCATGAAATTCTAAATTGGTGATAAATTTTCAGGTACAATTTTGATGTTTCTAAGGACGAGCCGCTCGAAGGACGTTACGAGTGGGTTCGATTAAAGCCATGAAACACGAGCGAGCGGTCGAAAGGAATCGAAAAAGATCGGTAATTCTCATGCATAATCTGTTGCTATTATTATTATTTTTAATTAGGTTCTACTAATTACGTTCAGTTCTTCGCTAGTTTTATTGTTTTTCTTCTTTTAATCATGTACAGCTAAGCTTAGCACTGTAAGTTAGTTTAGAAGAAGAAGCAGTTTGTTTTGTTTTTTGTGTACGATCTGAAGTATAGAAGAGAACAAACGACTGTTGGAATAACAAAAGCTTCTAGAATTCTAATGTCCCTTCATTTTCTGGTGTCTCGTTCTCTCTACCTATCTAGACTCCTACTCTTCATTCTTTTGCAGTACTCTTCTCTCTCGTACCCTGAGAAATTATTCACAGTTATGTGGTATGTATAACCAATTGTGATGTAGTACAGTAACATGATATTAATTAGTATTGGTTATATCTCGTAATTATGTTTTAGTATAGAAAAATTATTGTGTGATACTGAATCATAGCCACGTGGTAAGTAAAAAACCAGTCTCTATATTGTCTAGTATTACAATAGTAGCTAATATTGTTATATCCCGTAATTAATTATGTTTTAGTACGATCATACTAACTCAATACTACAACAGTATTTGTTATATCGCGAATATGTGTTCCAGGATGATAATAATAACTTTCCAGACCTGTAGTGTTCCAATAATACATGCAAATGCAGTCAATAATTTCGTGCATTTTAGCGTTTTTTTATAACTGTTTGAGTAATGTTAAGTAGACCATATATTTATACCACATTGATATGCCATCACATGCTGCAAGTAATGCATACAATCAACATCTAATCAAATAAATTCATTAATTGACATGACATGTACATATCACTTACCACATCATATGGTAGACACATGTGGTACAAAAATGTGACCTTTCTAGCATTTTTCTTATTGTAAAGGAAATAAAAATTCTCTAAATTAAGGGTTAGTTTGGTATTGTTGTGCTTTAAAGAAAAATGCTTATGTTGTGTTGTGAGAATAAACCGCTGAAAAATAAAGTTGTTGAGTGTTTGACAAACCTTTTTTTATTTTTTTATTTTTTTTTTGTAAAATTGCTTTTAACAAAAAAAAAAACAGTATTGGAGTGCTTGGTAAACTTTTATATAAATTAATATGAATATGTTAAATGACTAAACAATATATGTTTTTAATATAATATAATAATTATCAGAGATAATAACGTAGTAGAAGGCAAAGATTATAATTTTGCAAAATATGTTATTTGTAAATTTATTAAATAAGCACTGATTATACTATAATTTGAAAATAAAAACACTTCTTTTGGATCATACTTCCATTTTTCTACAGTTGTTGACAACAATTTAAAAAAAAAAATCACTTTTTTTTGTTCTAAATTTTTTAATAAACTTTTTTGTTTAAAGCTTCAGAATCCCAAGCCGACCTAAAAATAATATGTTTTTTATGTTTTCCTAATTTTCTGGGAATTTGGAAGTCTCCTCTTGGTCGAGTTGTCATCATAGTTGATGATGATTAGTGTAGCCTGTAATATCCGGCCACGTGTTCGAAGTCCGGAAAGTTATCTTATCCCCTCCATCAATCATCACCAAGCATTGTCCCATCTGTGCAGAAATTTTTAATTATGACGAGAATACGGATAGTATATCATATATTTTTATGCAAATGATTGAAAATTTTAATTTTTAAGTTATTAACCTTTTAACACACATAACCTACCATTTATATAAAGACACGTGATATACCACCTTGTGTGATGATCACACTGAAAAATCTCTCCCGTCTGGGTGGCCAATTCTTCCTTTTACAAATCCCGAGCGAAAAAAAAAAACAAAAAACAAAAACAAAAACAAATGAAAATGCATGGAATCGGAAAGAGATAATATTTACTATTACTAGCTATCATTATAGCTCCATGTTGTACGGAGATCGCAAACTGATTTGGGTAAAAGGAGAAAAAAGGCAACTAAAAAATAAGATAAATTCACTCCATTCACTTGAGTTTCTTCTGCTACTCTCTACTTGTTTATACGTGTACTACAAAACAGTTAAAGAGACACAGAAGGCAAAATATGAAAGGTCTGTAGAGAGAAGTGATCAGAGGCTTTTAATTTAACTCATGCTTCATCTGTACTTTCAAGGGGAAGGTATATTTTTTTGTTCGAGATTTCGTAGTCCAGTGAGCAGTCTACTCATGTCCATATTGTTTCAATTCAATCACATTTACGGTTTGACAGATGTTGGATTTTACTGCATAGGTAATTAGAAGCTTAACTATTTAATATAAGTTGTTAAGGCGAGCGATGTGATACGAGGATATTTTTGCTAATCATTCTTAAGTTGGTAATGCTCATCACGTCCTTATTTATCACCTTTATATGAGTTTAAATTTTGAAATTTGTGTAGTGTATAGTCGTAAATTTTAAAACTTAAACTCATCCAACAGTAATAAGTAGGGTACTAAATATTACCATCACTTGAGAGTGATGTGCAAAAAAGCACCCATTTGATACCATGTCAAGATTTTAGAATCTGCTTAATTATGCTGATATTATCTCAACTTAACCACTTGCATAGTCCAACATCTGATGAATTTTATCACGAAAAGATTCCAACATGGGATTAAATTGTTCAACATTTTTTTACTGCATGTGTCTTGATCATTTATGATATTTTGGAATTTGCTGCACGGTAGAGTGAACAAGAAAATAAAAGACAAAAGAGGAGGGTGTTAAGAAGATTCTGATTATCTTGACTGTTATAAGTTTACACTAGAATACAAGAAATTATTTTCATCAACCGTTGATATTTCTTGATATCTCAAGCATCTACAGCCTTTTAACTGATTAAAAGTGCCTAGCTACTTCAAGGATCGATTAGCAATGTTTATATTTGTTTAGTTACTAATTAAAAAAGTTTGGGGGTTATAGAGGTAGATTGTCAAAAGAGAGACATAGAGAGGAGTAGATTTTTGAAAGTTATAGAGATCTTACTTAAAATTGAAAGTGTGAAACGTGCGGATAGGAAGGTGTAAGACTTTTATTGGCTTACATCTATTTAGGAGTTCTAATTTATTAAGAATACAAGATAGGAAGAAATATTTGGTTATCCGGGATTACTTGGTGGTCAAGTAAACTTATAATGATTGGGAATATTTTTCCTATTAGGTCATGGATTCTAGAGAGGTGCTAAAGATATGTATTAGGGATTTCTTTATGGGCAAGAAACCTAATAAACTCACCTATAAATATAAGGCTTAGGTCCCCACTCTTGTACACACATTCTGGCATAAAACCCTACCCTATATAGGAGTGCATAAGGCGTGTACTAGGAGCGGAAGATATTTGCTTGCTGCTGTGTTAGTGTTTCATCACTAAGCTTGGATTCAATGGCTTTTCAAGGTTAGTACTTTTAGTATGTATATTAAAGTTAACTTACATGTGGCATCAGAGAGTAGGTTATATGCATCTAGAAGTCTAAAACCAAGATTATATTTATAAAGAAACTGAGAAGCAAAATTGTTGTTCAAATCATGTATGGCGCATGTAATCCATATTTTGTCTTATACTTTGTTTATACTACGTGTTGTTTACAAGACTTGAAGCATATCAAGGTTGCCGTGACACACCCCGACCAAAATCAAGGCGTGTTGGCCGTCACGCCTTGATTTTGGTTGGGGTGTGTCATGCCGTGGCATTAATTTGATGTAGAATTGATTATTCAAGGCATGAAAGTAATTTATATATATATATATATATATATATGTATGTATGTATATGAATCTGTAGCATGTAGTATAGCATCTGTTTATATATATATATATATATATATATATACTGCTATGGTTCTGTGTATATATTATTTCAAATAGCATTACAGCATGTTAGATTGCATTACATAATTGAATCACGAACTCAATTAGGGTTTTCCAAGACAACTTAGCTTGTTCTTCCCCTTTTACATAAAACATAAACATGTTAAAATTCCGCTGCAAGTATTAAAAGACCCATAAAGATGTCAAGATTGAAGAGATATCCTATTTTATTGTCTAGCACACAGCCATTCAACAGAGTAGCCAGCCATCTTTTCAATCCCAGATTATAATGACAAATTTGTATTATAGACACTGCCAGTTAGGGTTTTCGGGCTACAAATGTGAACTCTTACTTGGACGTCATCTATAATAGAACAAGGTATTATATTAACTTATACGAATTTCGGCTCTTTTCAGTCTACAGATGTGAAGGGTTTTGATAACAGTTTTTTCGTGTTAAGTTCATATAGTAGCCTTGTGAAAGTATTAAAGGCATGTTGATAATCTGTCCGTAGATGTTTATCAATTATGTATAAAGTTTTGGGGTTAAAGACTAATAAAGTTACATATTCCATGTTTCTCTTTCAGTAGTGAACCCGTCTGCCATCAATTCCATTGAACCCTTGTCTGGTAACAAATTTAAGAAGTGGAAAAGAGATTTAGAGATTGTCCTAGGTTTATGGGACATCAACGTAGCCCTAAAAAAAAAAGAGAAACCAAATGCACTAACTACACACCAGCATAACAGAAACTCAAATTTGAGAAGTGGGAGAACTCGAATACTCTGTGCTTGCTGATCATGGAGAAGACCATCACTAAAGCTATTTTTGGTGGAATACCAGCCTCTGAGAATGCCAAGGAATTTCTGGAATCTGTGAGTGCAAAGTTCATGGAATCCGAGAAAGCTGAGACTAGAAACCTAATGAGTAAGCGCACAACTATGAAATATGATGGAGTTTGAGGTATAAGGGAGTACATTTTAAGTATGGTAGACGTTGCAACCAAGCTGAACAGTCTTAAAATTCCCATAGCTAATCTGTACTTAGTCCATTTGGTCCTTAACTCCCTTCCTTCCAAATACTGATCAACTCAAGATCATCTACAATGCTTTGAAGGACAAATGGAGTGTGAATGAACTGATTTCTGTCTGTGTTCAAGAAGAAGAAAAGTTCAAGGAAGAGAATGAGACTCATTTTGTGCATCTCACCATTAATGCTCAGAAGCGCCGTCCCTTCAAAGGAAGCTTTCATACTGCCAATAAAGAAGTTGCAAACCAGACACCTGGTCTTGGTGTCAATCAAACCAATAATCCTGGCTGTTACTTTTGTAACAAATTAGGTCATATAAGGAGAAATGTATACTAGGTTTAAATCGTCGCGAGACATTAATAACTTAGCATGTCGGACTAGTGATCTGACCAATGATCTAAAATACATGCCCTTGAGAAATTATAAT